TAATCTGGAACTGCCTCACAGGTCAGCTCCCACTGTTCACTTGACCGCATAAAATGTGGGAATAGAGCCATTCAAGCCATTTTCAAGAAATCCCAAAATAATGAACACAACTCAAGCCATAACCCTCCACCACCCACAGGTCTCGCCTCTTGCCTGCCTCTTTAATTGTCCACACAGAACTCAGAAACAGAACGGAAATTCCGACTTATGAGGAGTATTTGCAGTACATAACCTATGTCCTGATAATCATTTCTCAAACAATTAATGAGATGGTAATGTTTGTAGCAAAATATGAACTGGAAAATATCTTTCTACTACACCATCTCACACTCCCACCTGAGGATCACATCATGACTGTAATAGTTTAGTCTTTTTAAGCTTAATCCATTCACATGATGCCAAGTGCATTTAAACATCATCTGACACCAAAGAAAAAGAACATGTTTTCTGTTTACCTTATGATGTACTGTTTTCATTGCCATTGTTAGTTTAATGCCGAAGCCATTTTGTGCCATATTGCCTGATTGCCTTTTTAAGAACTGTGATGTCTTGTGTAAAGAGGTGCTCTGACATTTTGATAACTTATTAGCATACTTGTCGTCTACTCAAGTGTTAAGTAGAGAAACAGTTGTTCTATAATGGACACTGACAACATTTGTGTCAGTAGCCACTGAGTTTCAGACTTTGTTTTTACTTTACAGTTTAATTATGTAATGTTTTTATGGTTATCCGGCTGAACCTGTAGTATCTGAATCCTTGTCGTCATTATACTCAGATCAGCAACTGCCCATAATCCGTCCTTGGATGCTCTATTTGTTGTCTTTATTTTTAGTGGCTGTGCGTCAGCGTAGTGATGTTAGAGAATGCTGGTCCATCCCAGGGAGACTTTATGTCAGTAATTAAATAATAAGTAAGATATCAAGCTCCCAAGGTGTGCTGGCACTCAGTTGTTTCGGTAGGTAGTGTTACTGTAGCAGTCTGTGAAAATGTAGAATGTCATGTCAATAGTTGCATATTGAGCCTTTTTTTTTCTTTCTGACAACTATGCCTTTGTCATGGTCTATTTTAGAGCAGTAAAGTATAGTATATTTCCAATTTGATCCTGACTTGCAAATTAATCTGGTAAGCTACAGAAACGAGACGTCACCCCCATCTCCTCCACATTGTTCTGCCTGATCATAAACAGCATTGCTCAATATACACAAATCATCCATGTATATTAAACAGTGTTTTGAGCACCATAACACACCAACTGATGTATTTACATTGGAACTTTAACCCTTTGATTTGAAGATGATACAACATATATAATTATACAAAAAGATGTACTTGTGAATAATTTACTTGAGTCATTCAATGAGAGTTTACATTAATAAATCATTTTCTTGTTAAAATTACAGTACACGACTGTTTCAGCTGTAAACAGTCCTGTATTTCTGTCAGTAACACTCAGTCACATCATTTATTTTTTCCCCTTCTACTGTGACAAAGGTGTCACTGAAGACACAAACAGGAATTGAATTAATCTCCAGAAAGCTGTCATTAATCATGATCAAAAACGGCTCAGTGGGCAGACAAGTCTTCCTTGGGCTTATGGGTGATGTATTCTGCTTAATGCGTCTTGGCTCCTAGATTACTGCTTGTATCTTTATTGGATGATTTGGATTGCAATTTCATATTTAAGCTCGAACACAGATGAGGCTAAAGGTACAGGCTAGGGTGAGGGAATATTTTACAGTATTGATGTGGCAAGCTGAAGGGGAATTGATGTTAAAAAATGATGACATAAAGCTGAGACCAAGCGTGAACCTACTGTAACATCACCCATTGGTGCGTGGAGACCCGTTTTGAAGCCTCAAGTTTGGCGTCATGGTCGTCTCTACCTTGTTTTTTGCAAGCAGCAACCTCTGTGGCTGGCATATTAAGCCAACATGGAAGTAACAAATAGTTCCTCAAACAGCCACTTACGACTGGCCGCAGAAGTGATCAATCTCCATAAGGCCCTGTATTAAAAAGCCCAGGTTTACAGCAGAAATAAACATGTTTACAGCCGCTACAAAAAACAGTTTTGGCCTCTATAGCTAATTTCCCCATTCATGACAACTGTACAGGGGGTGAATTTTTATATAACTCACCCAGTTTGTGGATTAGCTGGGAGAAGTCAGGACTGCCGAGATGGCGAGAGAGCCACCACGCTGTGCTTCATAAACCTTCAGAAACCTATGTGTGACTTCAAAGAGACTACGCTCATTTTTAATTAATTAACAGCCAGCAGTGGTCACATACTGCGAGTTGAGCTGTGCTGATTGGCTGCATTTGGTTTCAATTTGTCCTTTGCAGGAAACAGTGGCACATGTGTTTGAGCCCCTCTGCTGGCTGTGACAGCAATAGTCAGAGTTAATAGTGGCCACTGTCTGAGAGTGACTAGGCCAACAGACAGATTTTACAGCAATGGTAGAAGCAAAAGGGCCATAATTGAATAATGCCAATATTAACATTTCCTAAAATCTTGTGCAACCACTGCACAGCAAGTGGAAGTAAATCTCTCCTTCAGAGCAGGTTACTGTGCACGTCTTGACAATTTGCCACTTAAAATGTGTTTGCATGTCTACTTATCAGGCTGCCCCTCAATCTGGGCCATGTAAAAGCCAAAAGTGTTTTTCTTTTTTCCTGGGAGTAGATTCCTCTTAAAGTACTACTATAGTTCCATTGGCTTGTTGGGTGTTGTTTGTGCAGATGTGACGGCAGTGTAGAGGCTTTCAGACTAGCAACCTAATGCACTAGACGTTTTTCCACTCCCACATCTATCTACACTGTTTATTTTTCAATTAGTCAGGGCTCAAGTTGGCATGATGTCAGGTGGGCATGGGAAACTATAGCCCACACTTGTGGAGCACGGTAGAAAACCTACGGAGAAAAACACGGATTTCATAAGTTAGGACTCACAAGTTACTGTCAGGTTGGTCTGTCTCTTTCTCTGCGCTCCTTCTGTATGTGTGCATGTTTAAGAGTAAAAAACAAGTGTTTGAATCAATTAAAGAGATGTCAGCTTTGCTCTTTGTGTGCATGTGGGTACATGAGTAAAAAATATTGTTTTTAAGGCACCTGTGCATGTTTTCCCAAACTATTGACATTTGAGCGAAAGCACATTACTACTGAAAAATCACTGAAATCAGCTGAAGAAGTCAGTTTGCTCCACAGTTGTCTGTGCATAAGATTAGTTCAGAGGAGGTTCTAAAGATTTAAAATTTTAGATGGTATTGGGCAGCTAATTACAAATACTGTAATACTTTTCTCTACCTGCTTCAGCAAGGTAACTTATGATCTTTTAGGGATCTATAGCTTGCTCAAAGATGCTTCAGCAGGGCAGATGTTTGTCCACATAGAAGTTTGATCCCTTCTAGTTGAAGGACAATTTTTAATCCACATGTACTGTATGGTCTATTTTCACCAGATCTTTAGGTTGTTGCTATAGCAAAGCAAATAAATGTTGACTATGCCTGCCTAAAGGGGAAGAACTGCAGTGCAGAAATGCAAAATATAGTTCGAGGTCATTTGGAAATGGTGTTTCCATTACTTAGTTTGTCCACCAGAGAGCATTTATAAGTTCAAATAAGTTCAAATTCTTTTAAACTTTCAGTATCACTCTCAAAAAAACATCCATTTGTCAAACAGACATACAGGTGTTTCATAGAGATTAAAATGTAACAGAAAAGAAAAGTTGGCTAATAGAGGTAAGTCTACAAGTCTACAACTGTCACAAGTCCAAGACTATCCAGGAAACCCCCTGAGAGCTGCCAAAACAGACCCTGATAAGCGCATTATTTTTATTCAACCATTCCTGACGTCTATACCCCACACTATAGGGTGTTGGTCTGTGTTTAAAAACAGAGAGGTTACAAAAGCTGGCATAGAGCCCAAACTTTATGGGTTGTTTTAGAGTAAAAGATACACTGAGCAGGCACTCTTTGGGATCTCTTGGGGATTTCATAGCAAATGCTCATGAACTGCTATACAGTTCATTACAGGGACTTTCACATTCCATCATGAAAAATGGTTTAATTACTGACACTGACAATAAGGATTGCTTTAACTCAAGCGTGTGATTACAAATGTAGTTTATGCACGAGAAAGTGTTTATGTATGCATGTTTGTGCTTGTGTCTGCCTGTGCACATGAAATATGAACTGAAGGGAAATTTAACACAGACAGAGAGTTGTGGGCTGTTTTTAAGTTGTTGTTTTTTGTCCTTCCTGTATATTTCTTTAAAACTGAATATTGATTTTGAAGTCAAATCAGCAAACGTCAAATGTTTCCATAGAAGGTGTCCACGATGACATAAGGAAAGAAAAGAAGTTGAAAAGTAGAGGAGTAAAAATGGAAGGAGGGTACAAAGATGAGACCAATGTGAAAGCATAATGAGTTGAGGAGAAAAATGGAAAAAGAATGAGTGTGAGAACTCCAACAGGGATTTACTAAGAACTGTTTGAACGTGTGTGTGTGTGTG